CTACACTATCTTTTTAGATAATAAAATAACATGTAATGAAAGAAGGTAATGGATTTTATAGAGCAGAAAATTCTCTATCGAATGAGCCTAAAATGGAGTCTTAACATCTCAGTTTAAGTACACGAAACTAAGGTGCAAAAGTGTGTCATTCTTTCTGGGCGACCCGTTAGTGTAGGATTTATATAGCTATTTACCCATTTGTACTCCTAAATTCCACATGTTAAGTGGATTCATGTTACTTGAATCTTATCTTGTTCCTTTTGGATATACTCTCATTACTGAACCTTGAGTTTGTTGTATGAAATCGTACGAATTCTTCGACTTTGTAATGTTATCAAATGTAAATTCAGATAACTGAGGTGATTCAATGCAAGAATCTATAATTAACAGCCATTAAAGATAATGTAAATAGTTTGTCAACTTACAATTAGTTTTTGCATCATAAAGGACATTCCGTAAGTAAAGAAGTAATTTATCAAACTCAGGCTCCACGACCTAAAATTGTAATGACGCTTGTTTATCTAACAAAAAAAATTGTTTTGCGATTTACTTTTGTCCATAGAGGCAGTTGCAGATTCATAGATTGTAATGCTTTCAGTGGAGTAACTTGTGGACTCTAAAGTACGTAATACATGAAAGACGAATAATCAAGCAATTCTAGGAAGAAGACATACTCTCACTAACACTTTATATTTCAGTTCGTCAGGCGATGGTAAAACAGTTGGATCATCGGTGAATATTGCTTCTGTTAGCAAATAATCTGTAAAAAGAGTTTTGGGAAAGGAAAAAGTAGAATAAAATAAATAGCGGGTTTGACATATCTGACCTCCTAAAACTTCTTTAAGAATACGAGCCATCTCTTTTTGTTGAGAAAATGTGCAGTGATTTTCAATATCAAGAACAACCGGATATCTGAGTAAATAAAAATACCTTTTTAGTGTGAATACATACTCTACAAATCCAAGATAGAGTGAATTATTCACACTGTAAACGAACATTTTGGACTTTAGTTTGTTGATGGTTTTGAAGATTTTTGCTCTCAGAAAAAGATGGGTTTCGGATGAGTGAGTTTGAACCAACGTACTATTCTCTACGTAAGTACAAGCACTTCATCTGTGTTACCGAAGGATATCTGATTTTTCTGGAAGCTCAGGTTCAATAACCTGCATTCACATAATTCAAAACGAAAAGAATACACCAGCATATTCATGAACTAAGTACTGCTTTTGTTAACCGCTTCTCAGCATAAATGAATATGGTCTCTCCATTATTGGATGACTCACTTTTAAGTCTTTTGCCATTGGTCTCTGCTCAGAAAAATCCAGATCTGCAGTGGGAAATAAAGATTGTTTTCTTTGAGACAAAAAGAATGGAAGATTATTAGTATTTGTAGTATATCTTCTTCTCATTCTACCGTGAAGTGTTGATTTCTTTTTGAAAAGATCCACCATTCAATTCTCTGCAAAATTATATATTTTGTTAGTGTTTACAATTTTGGATTTATCTTGAAAAAGTGAAAGGCAAAGATTTATCAAAGTTATATTAGTTTGAGATTTACATGGCGCTGCTAGTCGTACAAAAAATTGTTCGATTGTGCAAAATGGTCGGTGAAACTGGCACTGTCGAACTAGAAACATCACCTGTCGGTTCCGTACACTCCAAAAAAAAAAATGCGACTTCAGCGATGTGTCTACCGAGAAAAAGTATCTTTTGTATGACTACATTGCGTCTTCAAAATAATAGACGTCTTCTATATGTCTTCAATGTGTCTACTGGTAGACATATAGAAGTCGCATAGAAGACATGTGAACCAGAAAGACGCTTAGTAGTCACATCTTCCCGCCTTCCATGTTACTCTACTAGGTTTTTAATGTCTCACATGAAACGTCAACGTAAGAGGCCAATAAGACTAATAATTAATGTGCCTGTATGATTCAGTGATGAACACATTCGTCTGGCAATTCTATAGAGTTCGGACCAAGGGGATGAAATTTGTGCTAAGAGGAAAAAATGTTGGAAATAAAATTTTGTATACTACCCATGGGGAAATTTTACCGACATTTCATACGTGAAGGACCGTGAAATGTTAGCTTGGATTTTCCGAAATTTTGTAGCTCAAGAGAGTAAGTTTCACGACATCGGGATCATGCAGTTGCAACGCTTAGCCACGCCTGAAAAATCTTCACATGTGTATACCTAAGTACTACAGTACTTAGTCTAGTACTGAGATACAATACCAAGTAGACTTTGCCTAGCCAGTTTAGGGGTCTATCGAAAGAAAACTAATCGAAAATGAAATGAAGTTAGAGAAATAGGAGAATAAATATCTGACAGACCAAACGGGTTAAAGTCTAAACGGGCTTGAACATACTCAGGGTTTCAGAACGCCTCCATTGCAACGCGATGAAAGTGATCAAGTCAACACGTTTCTTACTCTAACATGTACGATATAGAGCATGTTCCAACGCGTTTAGAAAGATTGATCAGATCTGGTAAAATTCTAACTGGAGCGCGTTGAAATACGTTAGAATGTAATTTAATGCCACTTTTTTCCTCGTTCTAATCTATTCAACTATTCGCACACGTTCCATCGTACTTTTCAAGTTTTCAAAATTGGCGAATGTGCAAATGAACATGTTCACACACGTTGGAGAGATGTCTAACTCGTTCCAACACATTGCTTAACATTTTATGAATGCGCTCTAATTGGTTTACTATTTTTTTCCAAACACGTTGGACCTTTCGTTTGTGATAAAGTTTCATGAGTGATAAAATTATCTCATCAGGAAGCTGATCCTAGAATTGAGCACAGATGCGTATTAAGCAGCAAGGAGTCAGATTCGGAAATTACTAGTAGATTTATTCTTTCGTTCTGTTATCTTTTACAAAAACCAGTGTTTTATGGCTTTTTTAAGTTTCCTAGATACACTTAAAATATGCTTAGTACGTACGGAGACGTGATAAATAAGTTCGGTTTAATTGCTCTAATAATTGTCTCAAAAGTGCAAGATTTGACAAATGTAAACGAGTGGTAGACAATCGGCTGGCCGTCTGGTCCATCATAACAATCAACTAAAAACAAGTTATCACGACAACTATTTCAGAAAAATAAACAATATCAAAACTTTACATACTTTCTACAGCTCGTCCACCTTTTAATAAGACTCGATTGTAGGCTTCTGCATTACTTGCACCAATTACTTGACTGTTAAATAAGTACCTATAAAAAAGACAAATACCAGTGAAACGGAATGTTTAATAATAACATATCTAGATTAACATACGTATTGTGAGATGTGTTTATGTAGTAATGCATTAAAGGTCTGAAAAATAAAAATAAAAATAATTTAACTTGTTATTAATCTGACTTAATGTTGTTTACTTTGTCATATCTTGATATGGACGACGCGCACACTGTGGCTTCATTATATCAAACTCATCGGACAGCAATAAATTTCGAAAACCTGTAATAATTCTCAGATTTCATGTATTCACATTCATATTGGTTCAAAAGTAATTTAGTGAAAATTGAGTTTTCGATAGTTTCTGATCCAGAAAAGTGTACTGGTTTTAGCTAGAAGATATTTTAGACTATCTATTGAGGAAGAAAAATCGATAGGTTGCTATATAATTCTGATCTACTACCGCCACAAAACTTTTCCGTACGATTCAAACTTTTTTTGGCAGACCGATTTTAAGGTAAAGTTGACATGGTCAACATGTAAACTCTCTATCTCGGTAATGAATGGATGAAAGTTCTTTTTGGACATATCAATGGAAGGAGTATCAAAAACTGTGTAAGAAAACGGTTGATTTAAAATTTCACGAATATAAGTTGACCCATTTTTTGTCTGTTCATTACGAACCGCATTCAAAGCATCCCCATTTTTGCAGGTTTTTTAACTTTTTATCATTTTCTTTATGACTTATTTATATTCATTAGAACCGCCATTAAGCGAGCTTTAAAAGTACGGATCGCCTTTTTCTTTTATTTTGCTTTATCACTAAGAGAATACATTTTTTCTAAATCAGGAGCAAAAAAATCGAAACTCTGCCTGTAATTCTCTATTTTCTCAACTAGAACTCACTTTTTATGCAATAAAAATATCATATTCGACGTCAGCATCGAAAATTGAGTCGAATGGCATATGTTTCTAAATTTCTCGTTGATTTTTCTTTTTAGGTGAAAATCTCAGTAACTTTCAGGATAAAACAAAAATAATTCGTTAGGATAAAAAGGT